TGGGAGTGTTTGGGTAGCAGGGGAAGTATCTTAGAGGGTCAAGTGTGACTTCTGAGCTGAGCTTTAAAATTTAGTGCAGGCAGTGGCAGGGCAGTCCGGGCAAAGAGCTCAGGTTCTTCGATTTGCGAGTGAATCTCCCTGGGAAGCTGCAAGATCCCTGGATGGTTGCTGTAGGAGCAGCTGGCAAAGAAAAGCAGGAAAGACAGGTCCGGGCCAGATTTTCATGCTAGGGCATCCTAGGATTTCAGACATCCGTCTGGGCCCACGTAAAGTTCTGTCTGTTCGACATTCTAAATGGCTCACCTTTTGTCTCCATTTCTCCCTCCCTGTTTGTGTCCCGGTCCAGGCTGCCATCACCCCCTGCCTGGACAACTGCATCAGTCTCCTTTCTTGTCCTCTCCCGATCCTTTCTCATCCTGTAGCCCCTTCGTGGGCTTCCTGTTGCATTTAAGCAAAGACTCCTGGCCTCAGGTCGGCCTGCAGGCCCGCCCTTCCCGGCGCCTGAACCTCCCCTTTCCCGGCGGCCACACCACCCAGCTCTGCGCTCGCCCCCTGCTGGACCACGAGAGCCGGGCCCGCTGTAGGCCCCGGGTAAGCGCACACCTGAGAGACCGGGGAAAGTTTCGGGGAGGGTTGTAGCGCCGCCGGCGTCGGCTGGGGAAAAGGGAGAGGGAAGGCTGCGGCCACGTGGCCCGGCCCAGCCCTACGAGCCGAGAACTGTGCGGAGCGCCAGCCAGTGTGCCAGAGCCACCGGAGCGTGAGGGCGGGACGGCCCTAGGGAAAGTCGCGGCCCGGCGCAGCCATAGGGCGCCCGCCAAGCGGGCCAGAGTGGCCAGTAGTTGAGAGCCGGCCCATGGGACGGGCGCAGCCATAGAGTGTCAGGGGGCGGGCCAGAGCGGCCGGGAAGAAGGGGGTGGGCCCGAAGGGAGGAGAGGCGGGGCGCAACCATGGAGTTCCTGCCGGCGAACTGGAGAGGCTAGAGTGGGGAGGCGCCGCGCCCTCGCTGTACCCGGTCCGGGAGCAGAGGCCGCCAGAGGGCTTGGGCGTTATGGTGAGGGAAGGTTTGCCAGGACTGGGCTGCCAAGCGCCCGCCCCGTCAGCTCTTGTTTCTTCCCGGGCCCGCGCAGGAGCCGTTCTCGGTGGGGCAGGAGCGCAGGCAGGCGGTCAGGCCGTCAGGAAGGGGCTGTGTCTTTGGTTCTGGAAATCATATTTTCAGAACTAGAGCTCCTCCCAGAAACCCAGGCACCTCACTCTCGTTCAGGTGGCTGAGCCCCCGCCCCAGAAGAACAGGAAAGAGTGGGGGTACGGAAGCAAACACGACTCCGCATTATGTCCAAAAACATACCCCAGGATTTGAGAAATAAACTTGGTAATTTCTTTCCCTACCCTTTCTTGCCTGCGGAAATCTAACCACCTCCTCAGAGCAGGTTTGGAACCTGGCGTGTCACCAGTTTTGATTTCTGACTACAGCTTCTTCTGGGACATTTCAGTGATAGATTGAGGATATTAACTGAAAGATTTGTCCAAATGTGTTGGTGTTCTGAGCGACTTTTAATCAACCATTTTCTCATTGTTGAATTTACCTGGACCATTCCCACTGCCTAACTGCCTACGTGAGGCGTCATATAGCTCCTTTTAGTAAAAATGACTTGATCAGAAACAATTATGTCTCCTTTTCAACAGTGGAAGTCAAACTTTAATCACAAGTGTTTGCAAGCTAGATTGAAGGCTAAAGGGATGAATGCGCCTCTATTTTTTCTAATAAATGCACCTTTGCTTTAATTAATCTTAACTATTTTTGAGTTGCTGACACCCAAAGTTAGCCCCCTAGCGCTAATAAATTTGCTAGAACTTTTTAATGACAGTTGTTCAAATGTTTGTGAAACATTTCCAAAAATTACAAGTCTTAAAGCAGTGGTGGTGATTCTGCACTTTCCAAAATGCTATCAGTTGACAGTGTAATTCAACAGTAAACTCTTCATAAAAAGGCTAGGGGTACAGAATCTTAAACTTCAGATTATGATATTGAGACCCATAAATCCTTCCCTTACTGCAATAAAAATTCTTAAGTGATTGCTGATGTTTTTTTCTGGAGAAAAAAATTGTTTAATACTTTTTCCAGTCTCTGGCCTTACAAGCTCTGTCCTCAGTGACGTCTGGCCCGCTGCTCTTTAATTTGCCTCTGCCAGGTTTTTTCATAGTGCTTAAATGCGGTACCAATTCTCCACCCAGAATTCCTTCCTTCTGCTGGTCTTCTGTGCTACCTTGGCTCCAAGGACTGTGGCTATTGCTCAGGGTTAGTCCACATCTCCCAGGTCTTCTTTGTACCCATCTGGGCTGAGGGGGCAAGGGTCTTTATTGCCCCAGTGTCAGTCTCCCATTGACCTAAGAGCCAGTTGGAGACTTCTGGTTTCTTTTTTCAAGGACTAGTGGGTAAAAGTATAAACGTAAAAAGTGTGAGGGCGCCTGGGTGGCTCAGTTGGTTAAGCGACTGCCTTTGGCTCAGGTCATGATCCCGGAGTCCTGGGATCGAGTCCCACATTGGGCTCCCGGCTCAGTGGGGAGCCTGCTTCTCCCTCTGACCCTCTCCCCTCTCATGCTGTTTCTCTCTCTCTCAAATAAATAAAATCTTAAAAAAAAAAAAACAAACGTAAAAAGCATGTGTGCAGCATTAAAGTACAAATGTAAAAAAGCACACATTTGGCCATCCCTTGCAGTGACCTCATGGGAGCCTGCAGTAAGGACCTCCAACCTGCTCTTTGATATAACCACAAGGAAAGAAATCATCATTCCTGCCTGTCAGTAACCGAAATTTCTGCTAGCGTGGTCTTACATTGGCATCAGTGGCAGGTGCTCAGAAGGCAGTCTTGCCAGTATTTTCTGCCCAGAGATGACACCAATAGATGAATACTTTCTATGTGCCAGGACCTGAGCCAAATTTTTTACATGGAATATTCTGTGAAATCATCTCATTAAAACAGCCAAGAACAGCTCTGCTTGTGAATTTGCTAGAAGGGGAGCTTAATGGGGGGCGCTTCCTATTGGAAAGACTTTTTAGTGCAGGGAGTGAATTTCTGGGGGCTCTCACTGCTCTAGCCTGAAGCTGCAGTGCTCCCAGTTAGGAGCAACAGCACTTGGACCACTATCAGATCTGCATGGGTGACACTATGGGGGAGAGGGGTGAAAGGGAGGGGTGCTTTCCATTCTCACGAGATTTACAATCCATATAAGTTGCAATCTTAACCAGAGTGCTTAGGAACATCAACTTGACGTCACCCACACATTTCATGGCATTAGCAGCCACACCAGTCGGTCCTAAATTAATCTCTCTCAAATCTTCACCCTCTCTCCTGCCCCTCAAACCCTGCACTACCCCTACCCTCTTGTGGAGAAAGGAAGAGAAATAAGAAACTAAGATTTTTTTAATCCTTTTTAAAGGTTTTATTTGCCAGAGAGAGAGAGCCAGCAAGACAGCGTGAGAGCACAAGCAGGGGGAGCGGCAGGCAGAGGGAGAAGCAGGCTCCCCACCAAGCAGGGAGCCCGATGTGGGGCTCGATCCCAGGACCCTGAGATCATGACCCGAGCCGAAGGCAGACACTTAACCAACTGAGCCACCCAGGTGTCCCAAGAAACTAAGATTTTAAATAAAAAACTGGCTCAGAAAACCAAGGACAAACTCATAACTATACCGAGGCAGGGCTGAGATAAGGCTGATCAGGAAATGGGGGGAGGGGTATGCACGGTTGTTTCCCTCACTTAAAATTAGCGTATTTGATAGCCAATTGCCAGGTAATGTTCCACCTTTTTCTCCCAGAGAACAGTTAGCTATCCTCCTCCAGGGCCAAATCCTGAGAGGTCTTCCCGGCATCAGAATTACCTACTCCTAGAATACTTCCTGGTAGTCTACCTCTTTCTCATAGATACACATTCCTGGAATTCCTATTCCCAATTCCCCATTCTAAAATACAAAGCTTTCCCCTAAAAATTTTGCCCTTGCCTCTATCTTCCCTCCATTAACAGGCAATAATTCAGTTATGTCCTGTCTTTGAAGAGCCAGATTTTCCTTCAGCTTTGTCACAAGAAAGTAAACATTCTGAAAATATCAAAGACATTTTTACTGCTGTCCACCACTCAAAGGAAAAAAGCCTTCTAGGAGACCCTTATGACAACATGACCCCAAGCAGCCACTGGGCTTGACCCTTTGTTACCGTGAAGCAGTCCCAAGCTGGACCGGTCAGGGCCCCCACCCTACCTCAGCCCTCCTCAGCCAACCTCATCCAAACCTTCTTTGACCGACCACAGAAAAAGCAGGTCCTGTGGCCAAAGCAGACAGGAAACAAATCAACACGGAGGCCAAGACAAAAGGTTCTCAATGAAGAGTCACACACGCTCATGTTTCCTGAAGATATTTATTACCATCCAAACATATTTTCAACAGGGAAAGGCATGATCCCTAATTTCCCCAGCATCCACATTTGCAAAGCCTCCTAGGAAACCCCACTTTCACAGAACCCTCTGAAGACCCCTGAGCTCTGTTTCTTTCTTGGACAGAAGTGGGCTAAGTCTTAATCTCTGCAAGGGTGAACTAATTCAGAATCCGGTTTTCTCTGCCAATACCTGGGCTGAACTGCAAACTCCATCTTACTATTTCCCTCAGGTTTCTGGTTCCTCTTTGTCTGAGGTGATGGTTGTAAGCCTGGCCTGTGCATGGGCCTTCCTATCTGAGAGGCGCTGTGGTGGCTGCCCTGGACTGCCCATGGCTTCCCAGCCAGGGCTTCTGGGAGAGCTGCAAGTCACCAACCAGTCTTCTGTGGCCATGAGCTGGTTTCCAGAATACTCCGCTCTTCTTTGGTCCCAGGCTTCAGGAGCCCAAATGCCCCTGCTGAACATTCCAAGTGAGGAAGCAGTAATGGAAAGTCACACGGATTCCCAAAGTTGTTGGGATAAACATTGGATACAGTAAGGCACTCAAATCACAACCTGGCTAAATATACCAAGGGAGTAGGTGTGCCCTGGGACAAGAGGCTTCATAGAGAAGGTCATCTCAAAGACTTGCCACCCTCAATAGTTTGGACAGAATTCCGTTTTAGTTCTACGCTAATCCTTTGCTGCCTCTGCACCTCCCTCACAATAACCCCCACCTTGTTCCTCTTTATAGTAATTACTTTAAAAACAGATCATTTGGTGGGCTGGGCAAAGAAGACCAGCTCTTAACAGGACCCTCTGAGTATGCCACCTTATCTGGGCCAAAGGGAAATCCCATTGTTTCTATCCCGTGTGAGTTCTCTGGTGACTCATAAGGCGTGAACTCCGAGAAAAGCTCTCTCCACATTCAGAACATTTATAGGGTCTCTCTCCCGTATGGGTTCTCAGATGACGAATCCGATTGGAGCTGTGAGAAAAACTGTCTCCACACTCATGACAGGTATAGGGTTTTTCTCCCGTGTGAATTCTCTGGTGCCTGATTAAGTTTGATCTATGAGAGAAGTTTTCCCCGCAAAGGTTACACTTATATGGTTTCTCCCCTGTGTGCGTTCTCTGATGTCTGGTAAGGTGCATGCCCTGCCGGAAGCTTTTCCCACAAGTCAAACATTCGAAGAGTTTTTTCTCTGCCTTGTGGGTTCCATGATTTGTAAGAAAGAGTGTGCTGTCACTCACTGCTTCCCCACACCCAGAGAAAGGGTAAAGCCTCTCTTTCTCATGAGTTCTTTCATGTATGACAAGGTGTGAACTGCGAGAGAAATTTTTCCCACACTCGGCACACTTATAAGGTCTCTCTCCCGTGTGAATCCTTTGGTGTCTAAGGAGGTTGGAACTATGAGCAAAGATCTCCCCACACTCGGGGCACTTGTAGGGCTTTTCGCCTGTGTGTGTCCTCTGGTGCCTGTGAAGGTTTGAGTTGCAAGAGAAGCTTTTTCCACATACGTTACATTGATAGGGTTTCTCACCCGTGTGGGTGCGCTGATGGCGAGTCAGGTGGGTATTCTGACTGAAGCTTTTTCCACATTCCAGGCACTTATGGGCCTCCTCTCCCAAGTGTGCTCTGTGTAGTGACAGAAAGTGTGGGTTCCCACCAAAGATTTCGCCACACTCCACACCCATACACAGTCTCTCTGCTGCATGTATTCTCTGGTGCCTAATTAGGTTCGAGTTGTTAGAGAAATTTTTGCCACACAAGGGACATAAGTGGAGCTTCTTCGGCTGCAATTCCTTTGGTCGCCCCAGTTCTCTGCAACTTGTGGCCCCCACTAAGGACGGCTCCATCCCTTCCTCTGCGGGAGGCTCCCAGTGCCCTTCTGCCCTGTCCCGAGGCCTTCCCTGCTCAGGACTCCAGGGCACCTCCCCTCTGGCCTGGCCAGGCAGCAGTGCCTGTGGGTGGACGCTCTCAGGGGAAACAGACTGAGCACTTTCTTCCTGGTTCTCAAACTTCTCTTCTCCTGGCAGAGCAACAGAAACCAAACCCCTGTGTTATTGCTACACCAGAAGAAAGGAATTCCCACATATCTGCTACTCCCTGGAGGTCAAAAGCCCAGAAGGGCTGGTTCTACCCCAGTTTCCCATTTTCCTCATGTAGGTAGTGTACTCTAGAGAGGAAAAGGGGTGGGGCCATCGCTCAGGAACCAGCGCTCACTCAGACCAGTCCTGAGACCAATACAGGCAGGCCCCCAATTCCCTCTACAACTGAGCCTCCGGCTTCTGCCCTGTGGAAATGGGTGGGATGGAGCACAGCTGGGACTAGGGTGGGGCCCAGGGGTGAATGCCTCCTTGCATTCTGTACCCTGGGATGGAAGTGGGCAGTGGGGACACAGGAAGTAATGTATCTTCCTGGCAGCAGTGATGAGCTAGTCCTACACCCAAATCCTCAAATGCCTCCCTCCCAACAGTGGGAGGCTAGCTGGGCAGGCTGCTCATCTTCATTCCTTACCTGGAGCTGGGCTTCTGAGACTCAGGCCCTCCTTGCAAGTCTGAACACTGGGATCCCATGGCTTTCCTCCTTGTTCCACATGGGTGCTCAGGGTCTCCTGACTAGGAACCTGAGACTCTGTTTATAATGAAAGAAACAGATTTCTATGTCACCGTTTTTCTCTACCAGGCAGAAGAAACAAAGATAATCTCGTTCCCCGCACTTAGTGGACATATCCACAGAAGGTGCAATAAGTCTGACAGCAAATACTTGGAATGTACACTCAACCGTTCTCAGTAATTACCTCCAGAGAAAGAAATTGGAGGAGGGAGACTATGGCTTTTTTTTTTCTTTTTACACTTCTGTAGTACTTGGGACCTTTTGTAATTAAAACAATCAAACAAACATGATTAGAGTGATCAGTTCTTGAGGAATTAGTTTAATATTATAAAAGAGTCCTGACTCTCACAGATAAATATAAACTAGAACTGAGTTCCACTAGACAACTCCAGGAGAAAACATAATATGATGGACAATCAGAAAGAAATCTGGGGCTCTGGGAGGACCCTGAGGTTAAAACCCAAAAGCACCATTCCTGTGCTATGCTAAAACTAAAACCTCATTCCAATCCCAGCAAACATGGACTTTAAACAGTTTCGTTCTAAGAACTTGTGATCCAAACTTCTCTTCCTATGCAGCACTCACTGAAAGCTCTGCTTAAGTTAGGGCACCAAGCCAGGCCCAAGGATGGATAACCTGGACAAGATCCCAGTGAAGGGAACCAAACCCAGCGGTGACTCCTATACAGAATTAGTGCAAGTGAGGTGATACCTGTGCCTCTTTACAAACACCTGATGTGTGAAAAAAAGTGCATGTGACTCTTCTCTACCACGTGTTAATACAGCTATAATCTACTGTAACATATAGAATTGTTTTACATTAAGATTTCCTACAACTTTTTATTATGAGAATTTTCATACATCCAAAGTTGAAGGAATTATACAATACCTGTACACTCTTCACCCAGATCCAACTATCAGTTTTTTGTCATATTTCGCAAGCCTCATTTTTAATCTCTGCATAATAGTTCAACACATAGATGCATCTTAATTTATTTATCCCGTTTTATACATATATATCATTTTCATATTTCCAAAAGGCCTCCCCCGTTCCTGAATTTTTAAGGGCTGGGATAACTGCTAAGCTGAAATATTGATGCCAGTGCCCCCTGAAAGTTGGGGAAGGGCCTAGAAATACTAATGAAGCATAGAAAATACAAGGTCAGAAGAATAAGCATCTCAAAATTGCAAGGCATCAAGAACTGAGAGTCTGTGTGATGTGGGGGTGGGGGGAGGCTGTCAGTGGATTTGATTTGCTCTGCCCTGGGAAGTCCATAAAGCTCACATTCCCTGCCTCCAGCTCTGGCAGCTGGGGGCCATAAGTTTGCCAACTGCGCCACCTGCCAGATGTTTAAATGATCCTCATTCAGGGGGCTTTAGAAAAAGGGAGGTCTTCTGGCAAAACTCAGAACTTATGTCCTGGAGGTGAGTGGCTAAAGGACAGGCCCCTGGTAAGAAGCGGCTCAGTCTTCATCCCTGGAAAAGAAGTCCTTACCCAGTGAGTCCACATTCTCATAACTCTCCTGCACCGTGTCCCTGGAGAGGGCCCTCTTACTAGGATCCTGATGCCCCCACTCCTCCTGGGAGATGTACATAGCCACGTCCTCTAAGCTCTCAGGCAACTGAAACAGCACAAGATCTCCTTTAGCCCGAGGCACCAAGAACAATTCAAGCAGAGTCATGAGTTATAGGGGCAAAACCCAGGGTGCCAAGGACACATTTCATGGGGAAGAAGGGTGCCAGGCCCACAAGTGAGGTGTGGAGGAAATAAAGAAGGCGGGGAGGCTGCGCGTGGTGAGAGAGAAAGGATCCTCTCTGAGAGGCAAAAAGACCCCATCCCCACAAGAGCAACTGCGGGGAGAGGTACTAGGGGGGAGACAATGGGAACTTCCACATCACCTGGGGCCCAGTCATCTCCTTGTCTTCCATGTTTCCTTCAGCAGGAAAGAGAGAAAGCCAGGGAGCAGACAATGCTGAAGTGACAGAAATCATGATGAGAATGGCATTTGTAATTCTTGGGAACCCAAGGATTATTACAACACGGTAATCCATTCCCCAATACCCAGTCTCTGCTGAGGATTGTACAATGAGCAAAAAAAGGCAACAGAGGCATAATAAAGCGATATCCAAAATGGCGGAGTGAGGGTAAAAAACACCAGTCAACTGCCCTGCTGGCCTGCAGCATTCAAGTCCTCAATCATCCAAAGCTCTAAATGTCTGTGCTGGGCTTACTTAGAGATCCCCCTCCCGCCTCCCATCCCCAGAAAAACCCAAGCCACCACTTTTAGGTCCTTCACTCCACATCTGGGAACCCTGAGATCAGAAATTCCCTCACCTAGGGAACCGTACTCCACCTGCTTGTGTCAGGGGGCAACCCCGAAGCCCCTCCTCCCTCCCACCTGCCCAGACAACTGTTCCTCACCCCTCTCCTTTACAGCTTGGGGGTCCCTTTTGGGGCTGGGGCCTAGCAGCTCCTGCAGCCTGGGGCCAGGGCTTCGCTCAGTCTCCATTGGCTCCAACTTGAAGCTCGGTGACTCTCGTGCTGTTTCCAGAGGCAAAGGCTCCTCCAAAAGCACTTCTGTTCCCCGCCTATGGTTTGTGACCTGGGAACCAACCCACATCACTCATCATCACAACAGGGCCCGAGAGGAAGGGAAATTAGTACAGAATTCTGAGGGCAAGCCTTCAACAGAGAACCACTGGCAATCCTTTTGGATCCAGCAAGAGAGAAGGATGGTTCACACTAAAAGCTTTCCTGATCCTCCGTGCATGGGAGAAAATAGGAGGGGAGGGTGTCCGCTCCCAGGGCACACCTTCCCCGCACAGCTCTCTGACACACCTGACTTCCTCTTGCCTCCCCCCAACTCTTTCTATATGCTTCCATTCCTCACTCCTGGATAAGTTAAACTTGGGTGACTCTGGGGGAAAATGCCCTCAGAACCTCACTGCCAAACTGTTTTCCTAAATTCACTAGTAACCTGACTTAGCTCTGCAGAGGAGACCAGACTGCTGCACCTAACATAACAACAGCTAACAGCCATAAAGCACTATTAGCCAGTAGTGTGATCAAAACTTCATGATGTTCTCCCTGCAACCCTCAAAGCAACCCTAAAAAGATGTTTTATCGTTCTCACTTTACCAGTGGCAAATCAGAAGCCCAAAGAGATTAAGTAACTTGCCCCAAATCACAAAGCTACAGAGCAGAGTGAGGATTTGAACCCTGCAAATTAACTCTGGGGGTCACACTAATGCAGAACCTCTGCCTCCATATGGAAATAGGACATTCTTCACGGCTCACTCTGTCCTTCCGGGGAAAACCTGGAAAATGAGCCTTCCTGATTAAACTAGGAAAAGACCTCTTGCCCATATGAAGTCTACTCGGGGGACCAAGGTATGGAGAACAGGGCCGCCGCAAGGTCCTAGTCCTCGGGGCCAAACCGCAGATAAGACAGCTCTTTCTCTCACCTGTAGTCGCAGCCTCCCAAGCTCTCTCTGCATGTCCTCCACAAGGGTCACCGCTTCCTCGCCGCTCTCAGGATGCAGCTCCTGCACCCTGCTCTGGATCTCCTGGGGCAGGATGGTCAGGAACTGCTCCAGTACCAGCAGCTCCAGGATTTGCTCCTTGGTACGCATTTCAGGCCGCAGCCACTCATGGCAGAGCTCCTGGAGCCGGCTGAGGGCTTCCCGGGGCCCAGCTGCCTCTTGGAAGCGGAACCGTCTGAAGCGTAAGTGGGAGGCCTCAGGGCTGGGTTCTGGATCTGGCGGGGGCAGCTCCTGGCTCCAGGCGCAGTCCTCCTCCAGTTTCACTATCAGGAGCCCTTCCTGATCTTGGGTGCCCGGGCCTGACGCCATCGTCAGGCCCCGGGAGCGCCTTGGCCCCGAAACCAGCTGCGCCCGCCCGGGAAGTCTCCCCGGGCCCTGCGGCTGCAAGTCCCGGCCAAGGAGCCCAGCCCCAGCCCGGGCGCAGCTGGCTCCGGCACCTTGGCCTCAGTCGATCACGAGCGCCAACCCCGATCCAGTCACCCGCAGGACGCCCCCACCCAGGGCGGGACCTGAACGCCGAGCTTTCACGATTGTCGCGGTCTCACGCAAAACTAGGCGCTCGGCTTCACGCCGGAAGTCCCAAGGCGCGTTTGGCGACCACAGCCAACGGCGCAGCCTCGGGACCAACTTCCGGGTCACGATCCGCGAACTCTAGCGCCCATTGGGACAGGTCTCGCGGCGGACTCACCGCCGACCAACCAGAAGGGAAGATTTGCCTCCAGGGGCGGGACGAGCGACGGGCCAATTAGAGACGAGAGGCGGGGCAGGTAAGTTTAGTGGAAAACAAGCCTAAGGAGGGCGTGACCGGTGGGCTACCGGATCAGAATTACCCGGAAAGCTTGCTAAAGTGAAAATCCCTGAGCCACGCGAAATACGGTGCGTCGTCCGGGGGCGGGGGGAGGGGGGCAGCAATCTGAATTGTTAAGCTCTTTCCCCAGAGACAAGTTTGAGAACCACCGTGTCGATTTAAGGGCAGTCCCCACCCGCTCTGGTTACTCGGGGCTGCTGGAGAGGGTCCCGTGGCCCCGACGGCCTCAGAAGCACGCAAGCCAGGGTGCTCTCCGCCGCCGCGCTGCTTCCGGGGAAGGGCGGGAAGCGTGCGGTCAGCGTCGCCCCGGGGCTTGCCGGGAGACGTAGTCTGTGACGCGCCTCGCGCCCCGATCCTGCGCCCACCCCGCTGCAGGTACCCAGCGGTGGGGAGCTACGCGCCGCGGCCGTGCGTCCCGCGGGTTGCTGTCCCTCACCCGGTCAGGGCCTCGCTCCTGGAGGCTGGACGTCCCCAAGGTCTCTTGGAGGCCGCTTATTGTCCGTCCCTGCGAGGGCAGGATCGTTATTCAGCTCCCTCCTAGGTCCTAGGTCTTGTGATGAAAGCTGTGAACTTCACTGCGAGGGGCGAACGGAAGGAAACCCCGAGTTGGTTCAGCATCTCCTTTCCCCTCGGCGACATTCAAGACCGTGGGCTCAAGAAATAGAGGCTTCGTAGGAGTGAATCGTGACAACCAGTAACCTCTTATTGAGCGCCTGCCTAATGCAGCTGGACGCTCACAGCACACAAAACTGTGGGACGGAGACGCTGTTATCATCCCCATATACGGATAACAGCACCAAGTGTCAGTTAACGCCCTGTTCGGGGTCACACAGCTAGTCTGTCGCTAAAGTTCAAGGCTGCCATAATAGTAAAGGGTGATGTGAGGACGGAGAGGCTGGCTTTGGACGACTGGGTGGAAAGAGTCCTGAGTATTTTGGTTTTTTCTTGTGCTCAAGGGAAAGAGGTCCACAGCTGTTGTGGCAAATACGGCCTCAGCAGCCGAAGAGCACGCAGGCAGGTATACGTCCATTTCATAAACCCGAGACATGTGACCTCAGAGTCCTCTAAGGCCATTTTCATGTTTTTGACATATTTCAGGAGACTACAGATTCTAACCTAATAACCACTTCGCTGGCATTTACTACGTTATCTCAAACAAGTTATTCAATCTCACTAATCCGCAAACTTCAGTTCTCTCATCTGTTTTGAGGGGATAAGACTATCCCGACCTTGTAACATTGGGTGAGGATTAAATGAGCTAACGTGCAGGATGCTTAGAATGGTACCGGGCACTTAGTATGAACTCAGTGTAATACTAGCTGTTACTAATGCACAGTAAACTCCTGAAGGCTCACCCTATCTCACAGAAAAGCCACTTGGATTTTTATTGCAGGATGTGGGACATGGGAATGTTTGCAAAACTACTCATACCTTGAGATGGGGAAGAATGAATCATCTGTTACTTAAGTTTAGGGTTTTTAAAAAAGATTTTATTTATTTGACAGAGAGCACAGCAGGGGGCGCAGCAGAGGGAGAGGGAAAAGCAGGCTCTCCACTGAGCAGGAAGCCTGGAATCATGATCTGAGCAGAAGGCAGATACCCAATTGACTGAGCCACCCAGGCACCCCTAAGTTAAGGTTATTAATGGAGACTTGAAGCTAGATGGACTTTCTGAGTTATTAAAAATTACTGTTAATATTCCTCCTCCGTTTCTTTGAGGCCTATTCAGACAGAGAAAATAGCTGGAATATTACTGGGAGTGGGGTTACAGGCCAGTAGATCTACAGGGGCTCATTTGGGGCAGGAGTTCTTAACCTAGAGTCCATGAAATTATGGAGCAGCACTGTCTAGTAGAATTTACTGCAATGGTAAAATGCAGCTCATGTTCCTAAGTGCCACTACGTGGCTACTGTACTGGCTAGTGTAGCTCTAGAGGGTCACAGTTGTTGGATTTGGAGATCTTTTAACTTTTGATACTGTATGCAGAATGGCATGTATATGTGTATTTTCTAGGAAGCGGATCCATGGCTTTCATGAAGTTCTCAAAACCACCAAAAAAATTAAGAACCACTATTTTAGGTCTTTGGTGAAAAGTAAATTCAGGGAAGTAAATATGCCCTCTGGCGACCATTATTGATTCTGCTTTCTTATATTTTCTTGTCCTCGGCTGTCAGTGGCTCCCTGACTATTATAACCAAGAAAAACAAATTTGAATCTCAGATAAAGAATAATCCTGGCCTTAGCTGTCATGGTCACTAGATTCTGTCTCTGGAGCTGCTTTCAGTCCTTACCTAGGTCTTATAGATTCCCCTGCACTCAAGTGGGGCAGTTGTCTGTGTCTTCAAACCGATGAAATACACAGTGTTAAGACTTTTTGGTCTGTGCTCTTTGGTGAGGGAGCAGACAAATAAGCAGCTCCTCTCAGTCTGAAATGTTGCTTTCCCTGCCTCTCCCCTGAGGATACCCTGGCCTCCAGGTTTCTGCCACCCTAAGCCTTTGCTATTTGCCACTCTTCCCAGCTTTGGTTTGATACTACTTTACTGGACTACAGATTTCCTGTGATCTATGGCTCAGGATTTGGCTTTACATGTATGAAATTACTCTGATCTTACTCTTAGCTTTGAAATTCAATTATAAACAAAATACTGACTTACAACGCATTTTACTTTTATTAATCTGAAATATGTTGCCTTTCTCCATGAAAATAATAAAATAAGGCATGTTGCACCACTTTCTGTATTTTGATAAAATGTTCTAGAATTTAAGTTTTCCTTCAGATTAACATTAACCAAACTAACTTGCTAATATTGTTTGGTGATGTTAATATTTAAACATTTTCCTCATGTTTATTCCTCATATTTAAACATAATTCTCATGTTTAAACATTTCCTCATGTTTCCTCCTTGTATCATAAACCACCATTTACCAACCCACACTTTATTGCAGAGCAGTAAATTTTGTCAGGGGTGAGGAGGGGTAAGAAGGGACACAGAAAGAGGTTGCAACCTATAGCTGCTCTCAGTGAGGGAAGCAGTGGTAGGACGTAGCAGGGACCTAAGCTGGACATGATTTTCCTAGCTGTCTTTGGTTTGCCAGAAACACTGTTAGATAGTTGTTTCAGTTAACTTCAAGATAATCCACTTCTAGGCTTCAGCTAAAAGAAACATATAAAGACAGTATTTGCTGGTCACCACCAACCAAGTTCAGATATCAATTTTTATTTGAAAATCTCTTAACTGAAATTAATCCAGGACACAGTTCCCAAACTCCCACTTTTACCCCCCTCTCTCTCTTCTTTTGGCATTTTAGTCCTGACTTAGATAATTCTCTTAATAAAATCTTCAAAAGATAATATAAAACTAATTTAGTGCCTTGATTTTAACACAGAATTAATTCACTCCTCGTCCACAGATTGGATGGAGGACAATAGCCTTGAATTGAGCACAAAAGCTTTCCCCTCATTTTGGTTTTATATTAACACTGAAATACTGCCTGACAGAGGTTCTAGGTGAAATCATCCTTACTGAAGAAATAGATAGAGAGAGGCCATCTGCCCCAGAAATCAGCCTGAATCCAGGAACAATCAGTGGTGACCCAAACTCTTTTGCTTCCTGTCTTTCTTGTGGCCAGGATATCCAGTACCAAAGCCTGGCCTGAGCTTCCCAGCAGAGCACAGAGAAGAGCCATGGGTAAAAGGACTGCAGAAGGGGCGCCTGGGTGGCTCAGTCGGTTAAGCGGCTGCCTTCGGCTCGGGTCATGATCCCAGGGTCCTGGGATCGAGCCCCGCATCGGGCTCCCTGCTCGGCGGGAAACGTGCTTCTCCCTCTCCCTCTGCCTGCCTCTCTGCCTACTTGTTCTCTCTCTGTATCTCTCTGCCAAATAAATAAATAAAATCTTGAAAAAAAAAAAAAAAAGGACTGCAGAATTCCAAAGAAATGAATCAAGGATTTGGCTTCAAGTTAAGGCGTTCACTGGATACAAGGGAAGAAAGAAAAGAAAACATCAGACTTAATTGGAGTAAAAACCTTTGAGATTTACTTAGGCATTTCTATCATCCCATTACCGGTTTAATACAACTTTTTCTCCCCCGTCACTTTGTTTCCCCTTAGAACAGGATGACATTTTCAATTTTCTTTTTTTCTCTCAGGTTTTAAGATCAGGAGAAACCCAGATATGTACCTGCGGCTATTTGGTCAGCTAATCTTTAAAGAATATCCAGTGGAAAAAAGACAGTCTCTTCAACAAATCGTGTTGGTAAAATTGGACAGCAACATGCAGAAGAATGAAATTGGATCGCTTTCTTATACCATACACAAAAATAAATTCAAAATGGATGAAATACCTAAATGTGAGACATAAAACCATCAAAATCCTAGAGGAGAACACAGGGTGAAACCTCTTTGACCTCGGCTGCAGCAACTTCTTGCTAGACATGTCACTAGAGGCAAGGGAACAAAACCAAAAATGAACTATCGGAACTTCATCAACATAAAAAGCTTCTGCACAGCAAAGGAAACAACAAAACTAAAAGGCCACCTACAGAATGGGAGAAG